TTCAAGTAAGGAATTAATGTAAAGTTTTATTTCTGGTCACTTACATGACTAAAATACCAATTGAAAAATTGATTAATTCTTAAGCTTCAAAAATTTATTTTTTAAAAAAATCTTTATTTCCTTTTATTTAAATCAATTTTTAAAAAATTTTTCTAAAAAGGGGTTTAATACATTTCCACTGAAAATAGTTTTAGTTTTTTTTCCCAAAATTTTTTTCTAAGTTTTTAAAGGGAAAAGGGCATTATTGTTTTGTTCAGAAGCCATTTCCCTACTATCAAAAAGGGACCTGGCATGGCCATACACACCCCCGGCCCAGGTGCAGTATCATACACATCAGTAAATAATATAAAAAAAAAAACCCATAGTGAAAACTGTGAAAGTTTTTTCATATATTACAGAAAATAATTTCCAATTACCTGTAACTAAACTGGCCATAAACCCTTGGGACCTTGTCTATAAAATTGAGTAACCCATCAATATACTCTATCTCTTTAAAAATACCCATATTTTACACTAATATACACGGCATCTGCTTAAAACACAGACGTAGCCATAAATAAAACTTTATTCTTTCATTTCATTTACAAGCTACCAAGACTAATGTATTTACACAGCACTAAAAGTAGTTGAGTCACAAAATACCCAGACAGCTGTTGAAAAAGAAAAGGATCTTAAATAAAAAGCAAAGTAATACTGTAACAGATAAGGGGGAAAAAAAAAGCAGTTTTGCCATAATTTTAGACTTGCATTTTCATCTTTTTCGGGTTTTGAAACAACTGAGTGCCAGGGCCATTCTAGCTTTAACTGTTTGCAGTCTGGCAAAAAGTTTGAAAGTTTTTCCCCTTTATTTATTAAAATAAAAAAGTTAAAAACTATAGCAGCAACAAGAAAAACCCTGTGACAGGAAGGCAAGGTTTAAGAACTAAAAAAGTTTATAAAATGTGTTAGGAAGGTTCCAAATTTAATCTTCCATGGGGCCTGGATTTTAAACTGAGTAAACATTTTCGGGCGTATTTTTCACACAGTTCATGTGTGGAGTAGGAGGGTTTTGGCCGGGGTCATTGAAACCTTTAATCTCTGTAGAGCAATCTAGCAGTTTTGGCAGGAAATCTGTCAAATTTTTTTTGCAAGTTGGCTGCAAATAAAACAATAAAAACCGAGCATAAGCATGATTTTATTGGATGTGGAATTCTCCTTTTTTTCCTGATTTTTATTTAATGGTGGGGGGGAGGAAGTGGACTTTCACTTGGAATAATCCACTTCCTTTGGTTGCCAGTGATAACTAGGACATACCATTCCTAGGAAGATGTTAATATAAAAGCCCCCTTAAAACCCAAGAAAAACAAATGTTTTTCCATTTAAAAAGCATGTTTCCTTTAAGGCCTAAAAACCCCGTGCAATATATGGAAAAAATGGGATTACTTAAAAATTAGGGGACCTCAAAATACATTACCAAGGCAAAGAAGATACAGGTTCAGTTCAAAATGGAAAAAATCACATTTATAAAAAAAGGGGCCCTTTTTCCTGAATGAATAAATGGGTTTTTCCTTTTCCCTTTCTTGTCCAAGATAGGAACACCAACGGTTTCTCATATCTTCCACAGCAACAATATCTTTTTCTTCCATTTCATCCACCAGTAGTAATGGCAAAATGGGAAATAAACTCATTCATAATATCAGGCCTTTTTTTTCCTGATCATCTCCTGATTCAAAAGGCCCAGCATGTTCATTTAGTTTCTTCATAAGCCACCACAAAAAAGGAAAGCCTTTAAGTATACAGCATATCATGTTCTACCATGATCAAATTTCTGTTTAAAGCACAGTCTTCCTACAAAACTACCTGGTAATTTGTATTTTAAACCCCAGTCACACTTTATCATTTACAGCGAGGACCCTATACTCTATTAAACCACTTGATCTTGTGCTGTTCCTCAAACCACTTCATTTGAACCCCCCCAACTCAACCTGTGCAGCTGAAGGCCCCCAAACCCGTTCCCCCCCTGCTTTGGTTTTTTACTTTTGCTAAAAGTGACATAATCAAGGAAAAAAAACCGTTGGTGTTCCTATCTTGGACAAGAAATGGAACGTAAGTCATTTATTCATTCGGGAAAAACCCCCTTTTTTTTAAAAAATGTGATGTTTTCCATATCTTGAACTGAACCTGTATCTTCTCTGCCTTGGTAATGTATTTTGAGGTACCCTGATTTTTAAAGTTTTTGTTTTTCCCATATATTGCACTGGGTTATTAGGCCTTAAAGGAAACATGCTTTTTGAATGGAAAAATAGTAGAAGTAATAAAGAAATTATTGGCTTTTTGGGGGGGGGAATAATCAATCATGTTCTTTACGACTGTAAATGGTATGCTCGCTGCCATCATGTCTGGGTTAGGTAGGAACAGCAATTGACAGTGTTGGTGAGCAGACTCACTGACTCACCCTGTTGCCACAATTTGATGGGGAGATGAATACTGAGAAAGGCATCAGCAGGAAACAAGGTTGTTTTTCCTTATTATGTAAATTTTTAGCAAAAGTGAGAAAACCAAAGCAGGTGACAGGATCTGGGCCTTCAGCTGCACAGGTTGAGTTGGGAGGTATCAAATGAAGTGGTTTGAGGAACAGCACAAGATCAAGTGGTTTAATAGAGTATATGGTCCTCGCTGTAAATGATAAAGTGTGACTGTGGTTAATACAAATTACCAGGTAGCTTTGTAGGAAGACTGTGCTTTAAACAGAAACTGATGCAGGGTAGAACATGATATGCTGTATACTTAAAGGCTTTCCTTTTTTGTGGTGGCTTATGAAGAAACTAAATGAACATGCTCAGCACTGTTTGAATCAGGAGATGATAAAGGAAGTAAACAACGGCCTGATCATTATGAATGAGCTTATTGTCCCATGTTTGCCATTACTACTGGTGGATGAAATGGAAAAAAAGGGAATTGTTGCTGTGGAAGATATGAGAAACCGTTGGTGTTCCTATCTTGGACAAGAAATGGAACGTAAGTCATTTATTCATTCGGGAAAAACCCCCTTTTTTTTAAAAAATGTGATGTTTTCCATATCTTGAACTGAACCTGTATCTTCTCTGCCTTGGTAATGTATTTTGAGGTACCCTGATTTTTAAAGTTTTTGTTTTTCCCATATATTGCACTGGGTTATTAGGCCTTAAAGGAAACATGCTTTTTGAATGGAAAAACATTTGTTTTTCTTAAGACCTTCTTAAGGGGCATTTATATTAACATCTTCCTAGGAATGGTATGTCCTTTATCACTGGCAGACTCAAAGGAAGTGGATTATTCCAAGTAAAGTCCACTTCCTCCCACCCACCATTAAATAAAAATCAGGCAGAAAAAGGAGAATTCCACATCCAATAGAAATACATGCTTATGCTCGGCTTTATTGTTTTATTTGGCAGCCAACTTGCAAGAAAAGCTGACAGATTTTTCCCGCCAAAACTGCTAGATTGCTCTACAGAGATTAAAGGTTTCAATGATCCGCCAAAGTTACCCTCCTACTCCACACATGAACTGTGTGAAAGATACGCCCCAATCATGTTGTCACTCAGTCGAACTCCAGCCGATGGAAAATAAATTCTGCAACCTTCCTAAGCACATTGTATAAACTTTTTTAGTTCTTAAACCTTGCCTTCCTGTCACAGGGTTTGCTTGTTGCTGCTATAGTTTTTAACTTTTTTATTTTAATAACTGCAAAGGAGAAATGACTGTACAAACTTTAGCCAGACTGCAAACAGTTAAAGCTGAGAATCGCATGGCACTCAGTTGTTTCAACCAGAATTGATGCAACATGCAAGTCTATCATTATGGCAAAACTGCTTTTTTTTGCCACTTATCTGTTACAGTATTACTTTGCTTTTATCTTAAGATCCTTTACTTTATCAACAGCTGTCTGGATCATTTTGTGACTGCAACTACTTTAAGTGTCCAGTGCTGTGTAAATACATAGTACTTGGTAGCTTGTAAATGAAATGAAAGAATAAAGTTTTATTTATGGCTACGTCTGTGTTTGCAAGCAGATGCCGTGTATATTAGTGTAAAATATGGGTATTTTTAGAAGAGATAGGATATTGATGGGTTACTCAATTTTATAGACAAGGTCCTTCAGGATTTATGGCCAGTTTATTACAGGTAATCGGAGATTACTGTCTGTGAATATACTGAAAAAACTGTCACAGTATTATACACTATGGATTTTTTTTTTTTTTATATTATTTACTGATGTGTATGATACTGCACCTGAGCACGTGTGTGTATGGCCATGCCAGGTCCTTTCTGATAGTAGGGACTGGCTTCTGAAG